AAGTGAGGAAGAGAGTTTTGGCATAAAGGTAAAGTTGAGATAGAGTAAAATGATGCTAAAGGAAAGATGAAAATAGAATGTAGAACACTAATCCCAAAATAAAATAAAGAGAAAATAAAATTACACTTTAAAAAAAGGTAAAATGGTAGTAGTACTAATATTGTTTAAAAATAAAAATGTAGTAATTAAAAAGGTAAAGTCAGGTGATGAAAAAAGAAAAAAATTAGTTTCTTAAGTAAAAGGTGAAAAAAAGAAAAATGTGTAGCAGTGAAGGTCCTTTACTTCTTCTACTCTATTGTTTGGCATGCCTTAGTCCTGTCAGGTATTCAGGAGAGTGTTGAAGCTCCCTGCGATACCCTGTTCCCCCGTGTTGTAAACCACGATCCTGATTTTAAAGCAGGCAGTATTTCTTTGTTTCCCAGATTGCCTTTATTTGTATTTACAGAAGAGTCAGTTTGTGGTTCAGCCCCTGAGTGGCAGTGTTTCTGGATTGACCTCCAAGGCTATAAGTCCTTTCTAGCCAGTATTTAGGTGTTGTTTTCCCTATCGCACTTAATACTGGTTTGGGAGAGTCGACTGCCCCAGAGCTGGTTCCTTGATCCTTACTCTCTGCTCTGATTCCCAGGTTCCACAAAAATAACTTTCCCCTGCAGTCTCTGTGAGTCACCCCAATTGGGCGATCCTATGTATTGGGTTTAATAATCAAACACAAAGATTTAACTAGGAAAAAAAAAGAGCCTGAGTAGGTGCGTGAGCTCCCAACCCTCCACTGTCCAGCTCTGTGCGCAATTTTCCCAAAGTCTCTTCCGCACGTCCTCTCTCCCCCTGGCACTAAGCAGCCGGCCCACTGGCAAAATCCGAGGCTGCCTTTTTGCACCCAGTCCAGCTATGGGCTGATTTCTAGAGTTCCCTTCTGCCAGCAGCCCTGCGGGTCCCCTTCCACACTCGCAGATCATGCTGGCCCCAACGGCCGCAGACTTTGTGTGGCGCAGACTCCCCCCGTGTGCATTCCTCTCTCCAATCTGAATTACAAACCGCACCTTTAGGTGAAATCTGACCTTTCCAGGAGGAGGAGCAGGGCTTGTCTGAGTCCTCGTATTCGCACTGCTTGAGATCCGGTGTTCCTGGGTTTGTAGCTAGTCCCTGGGTGCCGTGGTTGCAGGGTCTCTGGATGTATAAGCTCCCGATATCAGCCACTCAAGATGGTGCAGTCTCCGTGGCTGAGCTGGCCGCTCCGGGAGAGATTTCAGCAGCAGTGGAGGCTGCCCGGTTAAGGGAGCCTGATCCGGCAGTCTCCAGCAGTCCTCTGCCTTTCCTGGCTGCAAATTGTCTCCCAGCTGAATCTCCTCTGCCAATTCAGGCTGGATGTTACTCGTTTCAGCTGCTCACCCTATCTGCTCCAGGAGAAGGCACGGGTCACGTCCGTCTATACTGCCGCCATTTTGTCTCCTCTCCGTGGGGGGAAATATTAACCAAAGAACTTACATGCATATATGCATAACCCATGTACACAGACAACAGTGTGGTGAAGGCCTGGTGGGGTGGAACCAGGTGGAATAGGGTAATGGGGGAAAATGGAGGACATCTGTAATATTCTCAACAATAAATAGAAGTAAAAGCAAAAAGAAGATAATATTAGCTGTGTACTTCAGATTTTCACAATTGCTTTGATAGCTCAATTTTTCTGAAAGCTTAATTTTTTAATAAAAGTAGCCTCAGCTTTTTATATTACACAGAAAATGATAGTCTTCTCACTGAAATCTACTCTCTCTGATTCTCTGATGCACACACAGACCCCCTTAATACCAATTACCATCAAGCCGTGGCCAGTGTGGCTCAGTTGGTTGAGTGTTGTCCTGTGCACTAAAAGGATGCCAGTTGTATTCCTAGTCTGGGCAAATAACTAGGTTGTGGTTCAATTCCTGGTTGGGATATGTGTGAGAGAGAGCCAATCGATGTTTCTCTCTCTCTCTATCCCTCTCTCTAAAGTCAATAAAAACATATTTAAAAAAATAACTACCAAAGTACTCACTTCTTAACAACTTAGATATTTCCAACTTCTGGCACAGCTCCTCAGCAAGCTCAATATTTTTTGAAGGCCTGTGGTCCACATCTGTATTTCTTTCTTATGTAGCTTATCCATCACATCATGGCTTTTATCCTCTGTTGTTGAGGCAGAAGTGTCCAATAATTCAGAGCCTTGGGAAAGGGAAATTACAACAGAGTTGCATAAGCCAAAGGTAAACCTTCCTCTGAAATACCTTTTACCCATTTAAAGTTCAGTACTGTAGTCAGGGCAGCAAGAGATTTGGATCTCAAAGGTTGATGGTTCATTTCAATAATTTTGCAAACCTAGATACTGACACTCAGCATCTTCCACAGGCCTAAGAGAACTTATGTTATAACTATAGAAATGGTTGAGTATAAAAGAACAGTAATTGAATTATATACATTTTTGAAAAAAGATAAATACACAGGAGCAGCGAATTTAAGAACTGTTTTATCTAGATTTTCATTAAGTAGCAGAATGTTTCCAGATAGATCCTATGTAAAATTTGCAGATTAGTTATGACTATTTCTTATTGTTGATCTTCTATGCAAAACAAAATAATATCTAGACTTAAAGGTACACCATTCATAATGAATATTAATTTATTAATTACTTGTATTAAATTTTATCTGTAGGAGAATTTTCTATCCTTTGGTTCCTTCATGGTCCAATTAACTAAAAAGTCACACACACAGTTTACAAAGTTGACAGAAACGAGAAGAACACTTAGATAAGACTAGCTTTGAACATTTTAGCCATTTCCTTCTAAATCACTCCAAGATAAATTAATGACCGATCTTTTAGGAAATTTTAAAATGCTAAATCATTAACTGATAACCAATTACCTTTTCCTGTTTTGAAATGGTTCAAAACACGTTTGCAATCAAAGAGTCAGAGCATCCAATCATGGTCCAGGAGTAAAATATGAACTAACAAAGTTTTGTGGAGTTTTTTTTTTAATTCTTTATTGCTTAAAGTATTAAATAAGTCTCCTTTTAAGCCCACTGACCTCTCCCCAGCCGCTCCCACCCCCAGCACATGC